GTACATTACAGATTGAGATGACAAGACTCGAAGACGAACTGGTCCATATTCTTGCTCAGAATAAACTGCGTTTTGAGAAAGAATACGTGTTGCACCCCACTTGTGAAGAAACTTGTGTGTCTGAAGAATCAGTTGTTTCGAATGAAGGTGATTCGGTTCAAGAGGATACGTCTCAGAGGGAGAGCAGCAGCACCGAAACTGAGGACTATGTAATGGATTTGGTCCATCCAGATGTGGTTCCTCAAATCACGTCCATTGCAAATATTATGCTTGCTTCACATTATGATCTTGAATTTTGTCAGGCTTTTGTTCGATTCTGGAGAGCTGAATTGGCTGAGTATTTGACGATTTTGAATGTGGAACAGTTCAGCGTTGAGGACGTGCTGAAAATGGGGTGGAAATGCTTGAACTCTAGAATCAGGAAATGGCGTCGAGCAATAAAGAATGTAATTGGAATCTATCTTACTAGCAAGAAAAGCCTGTTCGACCAAGTTCTGGCAGAATATGGAAATGTTAGTTTGACTTGCTTAGTCGATGCTTCAAAGGCTTCTCTGTTATCCCTTTTGAACTTTGGCCATGCTGTTGCAATTGGACCACATAAACCAGAATGGCTTTATTGCTTGCTTGATATGTACGAGACTTTAGCTTCTCTAATTTCAGACATAGAAGCCCTGTTTCCAGAAGAGGCTGGCTCTTTCATTAGGATTGAATTCCATGAGCTTTTGCAAAGACTAGGCGATGCTGCAAAGGTTATCTTTATGGAGTTTGGTAACCATATCCACATTGCTTCACGTGCTTCTAAAACGCCTATTGCAAATGGCGATATCCTCCCTCTAACCAAGTACGTAGTGAACTACATCCTGTGCTTCGTAGAGTACGGTGGAACCCTCAATTCGCTTCTTGCACAGAAAGACGGGGATAATTTTGATACGGGTCCTACTGAAAACGTTGGGCAGATTACTATCTCTTGTCCGTTGGCTATTCACCTACACTCGGTGACATCAATTTTAGAAGCCAACCTCGACATCAAGTCCAATCTGTACAGAGATAGTTCTTTGAAGCATATTTTTATGATGAATAACATTAATTACATGGTCGATAAGATCAAGAACTCCGAAGTCAGGGGTTATTTTGGTGATAAGTGGATTCGTAAACATATTTGGAAATTCCGGCAGCATGCTATGGAGTATGAGAGAATCACGTGGAGCTCTATTATTGACTTGATAACGGGCGATGGGAGAACTGGAAAGGCAACTCTAAAAGAGAGATGCAGGGATTTCTGTATTGCTTTCGAGGATGTGTATAAGATTCAGACAGCATGGTATGTTCCTAACTGTGAACTTCGCGAAGATTTAAGGATCTCCGCTTCAACGACAGTTATTCCTGCGTACCGTAACTTTGTTGGCAAGATTACCGATCATATTGGTGAAAAGTACATTAAGTACACTGTGCAAGACTTGGAAACTT